AAACTTAGAGATACACTGTTGCCCAAAAAGCAGAGTCACGCTAAGAACTTGGCTATTACCAACCATAGTGGGGAGGCACCACCCCAACAAGAACAAACCTGTTTGAGGGACTTCTAAGTGACTCACCTTCCAGTCCCTTATCAACAGCCCAACGTTTAAGAACGCTTCTTTTTTAAATAAAAGGCCAAATCCTAACCTGGCATAGAGACAAAGGCCATAGCACCTAGGCAGCTACCTCTTGCAAGTAGGACTTTCTGGCCTGCAGTTCTGATGATGGTTGGTATGATGGCCTGTGATCTTTCTGGTTGCCCTTTGCGGAGCTCAAATGAGCTCTTCTGTCCTCTCCATACCCTCAGAAATCTCCAAAGAGTCGTATTTCCTGCGGGTTAACTCGGAGAAAACTCATTTCTAAAGAAAAAAATTGAAATCTCCTTATTTGGTTAAGTGGCATGTTGGTCAAGGAGTAACGCAGAGTCTGCTTAATTTTCGATGAGGTAGCTGGTAGGTTGGGAAAGAGGTGTGATAGGGGAAAGAAAGGAGATTGGGCGAGACCCCAGGCTTCAGGAGTTCACCGCGTAGTGAACCCGCTCAGCGCACCGCACCCGGGGCGCTTTTCACCCCTAGCCCTATTGTCCATAGCCAGAGCTGGGGGGGGGGGTCGTGACCTAGGTGAAGGCGACTCCGCTCGGAGAGCGAATGCGGACTGGAACCCAAAGCAGCCCTTGCCCCGCTAGGCCCTATTTCTCCATTTCTTGGTCCTGAGACCCCGCCCTCTGGCAGTCCCCAGAAAAGAGCTGTCCTCTCCGGCCAACCTCGAGTGAAACAGTCGCTTTTTTGCCAGATTCTTTTGCGCGGGGCTTCCCAGGCAGCCAGAGGTTGGGAGCAAGAAGCTAAGGTTGCTTGGCAGTGCCCACACACTCTGTCTCAGTGTGTCTGCACCCCCATCACCATCACCACCGAATTCAAATATACTTTTTTCTCCCAGTTTCTAAACTTGGACTGGGAAAAGAGGGAGTCCGAAACAAGGAAGTGAGCCATGATGACACTGCCTCCCCATCGCCCTTACCCCTGGGGCAGGAGGAGAAGGTCCCCAGAGACTACAAATTGGGGGCTCCAGCAGTCGTTGAGGGACATTTAAAATGAACTGTCCCTTTTATTGGACTCTGTAACTCTCTCTCCCTCCCTGATCCGCTTTCCCCTCCCTGCTTTCCTTCAGAATCTTTCTCTGGGCCTGGTGGGAAGGAAAGCCGCTGCGGCCTTTCCCAGTTTGCATGGATGTGTGCTCCTCTAGATCCTGAGTGGTTAAAAAAAAAATGCAGAACTAATACCAAAGAAAGCAGGGCGGGATGGCGTGAGGGGTAAGGTTGGCCTGAGAAATAGAGAATAGTCCCCCCCACCCCGTCCCTCCCGTGTCCCCCCATCACCCCGCTGCCTTGGGAAGCCTATGGCCAAAATCTCCTTTTCTTTTTGGACTTAGTTTCTGCCAGCTTTCCAGTCTCCAAAGGAAATGGCACTCCCTGAGGGGCAAGTTGTAAGGTATGCAAGGCTTCAACTCTAGTTCAAATAGTACATCTCACCATTTTTAATTCTCAAGAGGCATACCCCCAAATTGCCACACACCACAGAGGGAAAAAAAAAGATTCAAATAGGGTTAGAGATGCCAGGTGCAGAACAAGCACTCTGAGAGGGGTAGTCAGTTTTCTGAGGAGCTTGGTCACAGGCAAAGATATTTTTTTCCCACCTAAATTCTGCAAATGTTTATTTTGGGCTTCTGCCCATCCAGATAAATCAAGCTAACAGATTAGGAGGTTCATAAAATTGTATTCTTAGGTAATGACATCCAGAGAGGCAATAAATATTCCATCTGCTTTGGTGGCCGCTAGAGTTAGAGGATCTTCCATCTCTTTTACCGAGCCTCTGAAGAGGCCTCTAGGAAAGGAGGCATTTTAATTTGAATTAGCTGTCCAAAGATGGGGTGCCAGATAAAAGCCGAGGAAAGCCTGGAGATGTGGCTTTGTAAATACAGCACCATGCTACCCCAGGACCTGGCAAAAAGCCGAGAAAAGGATTGAAGTGCCCAGCATACTGCTCCTCCTTGTCATGGTGCCCTCTTAAGAGCCCTTTCTGGGTTAGTCCTGAATCTGAGGAAGACAGAGGGTACCCTGGCCCACACTTTAGCAAACCTCTCTCTCTCTCTCTCTCTCTCTCTCTCTCTCTCTCTCTCTCTCTCACACACACACACACACACACACACACACACACACACACACACACATTGGATTTCAATATGCAAGTCCACAGAAGAAAACTGAAACATTCAGAACTGTAGGAAACAAACTGAAAGAGATCCTCAGAGAAACAAAGTGGCCCAGGCTTTTTTTCTACCTAGCCTTACTTCCTCCACTCACTCTTATTTTTTGGACTGTTTTCTCACAACCCTCCATGTGTGGACTTCCACTTCCTCCAAACAGACCCTTTCCATCTTACATTTGACTTTCCACCCTCTCAAACAACTGGAGTTGAAATAAAAAATTTAGTGAAAGATAGACTTTAGACTTGTGCTCTTTACCCCGAGAAGGCTGAGTGCTAGCTACTTACAAGGCGGCGAAGGGATTTAGGGCTTGTGGGGATCTCCCGGTGCTTGGAAAGAAGGCCCTTGGAAGGTTGTTGTTCCCTAGTTCACAGGTCTTCGTTTTACTTGGCCATTGAAGATGAGACAATGCTGGACTAGCAGGCATTCACACACGTTCCTCTCTCATGAGTCTGGGCAAGAAATCCTCAGTCCTACAAAAGCTGGGGCATCCTATCTGGAGGCCAGGGCCTGAGCAAGGACTAGGCTTCGGAGGGTGGAAGATGGGGGTGGGGGAGAGGTCAGAGGCTCTGCCGAATATAAAGGCAATGGGAGAGAAAATGCTGTGTCCTTCCCGTGAACCTGGGCTGAGTCCTCCCCCCAACTCCCCAGCCTTTCCCCACCGCTTTACTCAACTTAAATAAAAGCCTTGCCCTCCACTTCCCAGTGAGGCCAGGGAGGCATCAGGAGCATTGAAATCAGGACTGCTAGAGCTTGGGGCCCAGGCCCAGGCTAGCCCCACGTTTCACCCCTGCCCAGCTAAACTGAAGGCTTTCTGGGTGGTCAGGACTCAGGCACAGGAAAGCTTTGGAGAAAGAAGAGATTCCTGCGGGTCAGAGGCCCAACTCTTCAAAAACCCTAGTGTAAAAAAAAATTAATTTTGCTACATTTGTCAAGAATGTATGAATTTGGGGACCTTCCCCTCTTTCCAGACAAGAAGGGCAGAGACCCTAAATGACTATGCATGTCACAAAAAGAACAAAAAACAGAAGCCTGTAAAGAAAGGGAAATAAACATCCCAGCCCTTACAAGCTGTCTTCCCTAAGTTCTGGAGTGTCCCTTCAGAAGGAGCCAGGAGAAACTTCAGAAATAACAAGCAGCAACAGCTCTCTCCTATGACTCTGCAAAGCTCAAAACTAGGCAAGAACAGTGGGTCTGAGGATACTCCCACTCCTTGCCATCTCATCTTTCCAGGTTCAAAAAGACACCCTGACTTATCCCTCAGACCTTCCTTCTCTCTTTTCAAACACACTTAGCAACACCCTATCACCACCACCTCAAGCCCAAAGGCAGTAGTCTCAAGATGATTGGGGAATGAGGTCAGATCAGGTCCTTAATTCGCTTGATTACATAAAATAACTCCAGATAATTGTTGCCTCTGCTTCCTCACACTGTAAACAGCATGTTTTGCTGTCTCCAGGGTACTATTGAGGGAGGAGAAAGTAGACCTCAGGGACTAAATGGACCCCCACCCCACCCCCTGCACAACACATTGCCAAACTCCAGAGACACACACACAGACTCTGCTCCAAGGATTAGTCATCAAGTAGTTCAAGAGAAAAGAAAATTAAAACATATCAAATAGATTTTCACAATTTGGTGTCTCCTCTGTTTGCCTCTTACTCTGGGATTTAAAAGGAGAGGAAGGTAATTCAGATTGCCTCTCCCTCTCCTTCTCCCTCTCCTGAGTGCCCTCCATCCAGAAGTTTAGATGAACTTCTCTCCTTACCTTGCCCTAACCAAAAAAATAAATAAATAAAAAGAGCAGACTTAGCTTAGGACCTGATAGAACCAGCTGGGATCCTTTGGGTTGAGTTAGTCTTTAGTTTTGGTCTTGCTTTTGTTTTTGTTTTTCCTGGTGATACACCTCCCCATCCTCAAGAAAACTCTATGTATCTTAGAACCACAGAGGCTTGCTCAGTGTGTGCCCAAGCTTTGCCAGGACCTAGGAAGTGATATGAAGAACACAGTCCTTGAATCTCTAACATTTCCTCCTTAACACCTGGTAGATCATGATTAAAAGTTCCAGAAAAACATAAAAGTTCTTCTTTTGCCAGCTACAGCAGACATCAGTCTTTGAGGGCCTATCCACGCAAGAGACCTTACAGGCCTCTGGCCTCCACTCTACCTTTTTCCCCAAGGCTAAGCAAACAAACACACCATCCTGGCAGGTCACCTTGCAGCTTCAGAATCACTAGCTCTAAGCCCTTTATTCCTTTAAAAGAGCTTAACTGAAGAAAGGACATCTTCCTCGAGGTTTTATCCCAAGAAGTCCTGAAAGAGGAAAACTTTTCCTTCCCTTTCCCTAAACTTGCTTTCTGGTCTGCAGATTTGGCAAGCCTAAAGGATGGAGAGGGTGGGATATGTAAAAGAAGGGGCTGAGTCTGACTAAGGAAAAGTGAGGACCCCCACCCCACACTCAGCTTCACTGTAAGGTCTGATTTCCCTGAGAAGTCAGAGATGGGACATTTGCATCCTCCACAGTCTACCACAACCCTTACCCCAGTCCCCCTTTCAATAGGCACTGAACACCTGAAGTCAAGTGTTAACCTTTGTGTGTTTGTTCAGTGTAAACTTAGGCAACTATAGAGGTGAGGTGTCACCCAGGCCAGGAGGAGAGGGATTAAAAAGAAACCATCAGACATTGACGTAAAACTAATTCACAGCCACTGGTTTATTATTGATCACGGGGCATTTCACATCAACACTAAAATTCTTTATTGCAAGTTTTACAATAATCAAGTAAATTCAGTCCAAAAACACAACAACCACGATGAGGGGTAGGGAAGCATCTACCTATATAGACTGCCTCTCTGAACTGAAAGTTCATTTTTATTTTCTTTTGGCTCCTCAAACTCAACAGCTCCCAGAGGCTCTCCAGATGCATTTAGCTTTGTTTGCTGTCCTCCCCCCTCCTCCCACCCCCCCACAAGAATACAAAAGAACTTCATAGCTTTGTTCTCCTTAAAATGACTTCCCCCCTCACTAACCTCCCCTGGTGCATTTTCAATGCAAAAGGCCTAAGGAAAGAGGGGGAGAAAGGAGGAGGAGAGAGGATGAGAATTCACTTACAAATCTCCCTTTCCTTTTTCTTTTCCTCATTTCCCCTGAAATTCACCCAAACCAGACCATCACACCTTGCAATATATATTTTTGCAGCTTTTTTTCTTAAAAAATAAATACCCCCCCAATGGCCTTAAAAGCAAAGCAAAGCAAAACAAAACAACAAAAAATAAAACCCAGCAGGTACCATGCTAAGACAACACCACATGCTTAAAGGGGTCCTTAACAGCGAAGGGAAAAGGGCAAGGGGCTTGTTTGTTTATCTGTTTTGTCTGTTTGGAACTGACAAGGGAGGAGGCAGGAGGAAGAGAGAAAAAAGAACCAAAAAATATATATATATTAAATTCTATAAATAAGAGTCAATTTGTGTGTGAGGGGGCACGGAGCACAGGGTGGGGGCAGGGGTGTAAGTTATGTCTTATAACCTGGTGATGTCCTCTGCCCGTTGCTGCTCCGGCGGCGTGGCGCTCTGGGAGTGGTCTTCAGAAGTGCCTGGGGTGGCTGCCGAGAGGGTGCTGGGCGCAGCGCCGGCCGGGGGCGCTGACCTCACTTTGGTGTTGGGGAGTCGGTGGTCCTTCTTCCATTTCATGCGACGGTTTTGGAACCAGATTTTGATCTGCCTCTCAGAGAGGCACAGCGAGTGGGCGATCTCGATCCTTCTCCTTCGGGTCAGGTAGCGGTTGTAATGAAACTCTTTCTCTAATTCCAGGACCTGCTGCCGGGTGTAGGCTGTCCTCGAGCGCTTGGGCTCCCCTCCGTTATAATTGGGGTTCACTGGGGGAGGGGGAGGGGAAGCAAATAGTGGGGTTCAGAAGCAGCAGGCTCCCTGCCCCCACCCTCACCCCATCCTCAGCTTTGAGGAACAGGAGGGAGTGGTGGAAATAAAGTCATCAAGCTAAATGGGTTATAAAGAAGTTGAAGGAAGCTAGAGACTTTGTAGTGTAATAAGAGGGGAATCCTCATTGTAACGACACTGAATTATTTATGCGCCCTTAGAAAGCGAGCATAGTTTTCACACATACATAACAGATCGTAGCACATGGCTCGGACTGCCCAGAGTAGCTAAGCCATAAAATTTATGGGGGATGTAATTACCCATTCTCGCTCGTAAATCCAGTTCAATTGTGCTAACCCAGAGTCGCTCCTGGAGAGAGAGGGGGAAGGAGAGAAAGGAGGACGGGGCCAGAGGGGGCCAGGGAGGGTGGGGAGCGCCGGGGAAGGGAGGGGGGCAAAAAGCAAAGTTGCCTACCCGTGCTAACGTGAATTTTTTTCATCCAAGGGTAGACTATGGGCTGCTTGCTGGCGGCGCTGGAGGGATGGTCAGGGGCTGGCTGGCTGCAGGCTGGCGGGGCTGGGGACGGGGAGGCAGAGGCGCCTGAGAGAGGCGCCGGCTCGCAGAGCGGCTGCGATTTCTCAGGGTGGTGGTGGCCCGCCTGGGCCGGCCCGTGGGCTCGCGAATTGCCGGGCCCCTGGAGACTGGTGCAGCTATACTGACGCTCAGGGTAGCTAGGGCGCGGAGGCGGTGGTGGGTACAGCTCCTGGTGGTGATGCTGGAATCCGGATTCCCTGGTCCGGCCGTAATATTCCGGACTGTGTTCAGGGATGTAGCTATTTTGCGAATATTCTTCGCATGGAGGAAATTTCGGATCGATGTAGTTAGAGTCCATCAAATACGAGCTCATGATCATTAATTTCTGGAGTGGAAAATAATTTTTCTCGCTTTGTCGTTTTTCTGCTCCATAAAGCCCTCCTACTAGCTAGCGACCCTGTAAAGTTACTTTCACCATGTGACTCCGCCGGCCAATCACACCGAGCAACCCAGTCCCCGGATAAGGAACCGAATCGCTTTATTCAAAATGTATCCAATTTTTTGTGTGTGTGGTGCTGCTGCTGCTGGGGGGTGGGGTGGGGGGATGGCTGGCAGAAGCTGGGGTGCTCACCATTGCACACCCCACCAGACTGGCAATCCTCCCTTGCAAAAGATGCGTGGCTCCCAGCTCGACTCCAATGTCTGGGCATTGGGGACTGTCGGGAGGCTGCGATTCAGCCCCCGCCCAGAGTCTCCTCTCTGGCCTCCAGTGGGCCCTGTGGGCCTCGGCTCCAGTGCCTTTCCAGTGGTCTCCATTATGGCAATCGTGTTGCAGTCTGTGTAGGTCACAGGGCAGCGCCCCTCTTTCGCAGGAAGAGGAAGTTCAATGAGGGCTTCAGTGGAGGTTGGATGGGGAGGGGCCCAGGCTGAGCTTAGAAGGATGGAGAGCCTGAGCTGCCCTACCCCATTCAAGGATCCTAAAGTCCATTTCCCCTCTCCCATACACACTCACCCAACCCTCTTGGCCAAAGGGCCTTGGAGACAGGGTCCCAGCAGTACTAGACAGGTTGAGGCAGCGGGATGCAAATGATCTTGACGTCATTTCTGGGAGTCTAGGGCTTGAACCCCTTCTGAAGAAAGACAGGAAGTAGTTGGCAAAAGCGGATTTCAGAAACCTTGTCACCCCTTGCTACCCACTGTCCTCCCCGGCCCAGGCCCCAGAGCAGAGATCTCCTACTGATGGCTCATATGTGACTCCTGCTCCCTGGCCTACTGACTTCTCGTAACACCTGCCCGACTGGCTCTGAGCAGCTCTGGTGAGAGACAGAGATAGAGAGAGATGATAGAGATAGAGAGAGACAGAGATAGAGGAGATAGAGATAGAGACAGAGAGACAGAGAGAGACAGAGAGAGAGAGAGAGAGAGAGAGAG